GTGAAAATAAAATAGATTTTCATAAACATATATAATTAGGAAAAGGGGAAAACAGCCAATTTGGACCCGGACAATTTGCGTCGTGCTGTTTTAGACCTGAACTTTTGCCTATGACTAATTTAAACCAGAACTTCAAATAAATTCAAATCTTATACCTGAACTAACATGTTTTATGCCGAATTGTACCTTGACCAAGATTTTGTTAGTCAACATTAACGGAATATTCACTAAAACGACACGTAGGTTAGTTACCTCGATTTAGTTGGCTCAAAACGACGTCGTTTCGTTGTTTTAGTAAAAGGATGTCGTTTTCATTTAGAGAAAACTACAAATCGAATCCTTAATTCGATAACTTCTCAAATAAAAAACGTCATTTTACTAAAACAACGAAACGACATCGTTTTGAGCCAACGAAACCGAGCCAGCGAACCCACGTGTCATTTTAGTCAATATTCCGTTAATGTTGACTAACAAAATCTTGATCAAGGTATAATTCGGCACAAAAGATATTAGTTCAGATATAAGATTAGAATTTATTTGGAGTTCATATTTAAATTAGCCATTGAGAAAAGCTCAGGTCTAAAACGGCACAACGCAAATTGTTTGGATCCAAATTGGCCGTTTTCACATAGAAAAAGCTATAGGACGAACGGAATTTGGAATTGATATGGATCGGAATGGATTTTCCATCTCGAAATGGACAATCTTCCCGTAGCTCTGGTATATAATTCCATTTTTGATATACCCAAAAGCAGAGGCAAACAGGCTCATACTATACAGTAATACAACAAAATCAAGTGCTCTTGTTAGTTGTTACAGACACAAAAGGAACAAAAACATTATAAACAGAACACCATCAAACCCAAATATTCAAAAGAGCATGTGTAAGTAAAAAATTGTTTGTTTTGCCTTTAAACCGGTTTCCACACAGACAAAACCTCCTGAAACATCTCCAGCATCAGTTCTCGATCAGCTTGCCTGAAGAAACTGCTGATTTCGTCTCTCACATCATAAATCTTTCCGAAATCAAACAGATACATCAAACACCCTTTCTTCAGCTTCTCCAGCTGATAAAGCCAAGCCTCTTGTAGCCTCTCGAGCACATTACCCGAGTTTATGTCTTCCATTAGGCTTTCCTCGCATGCCGCTTTCAAATCCGTTATATCGTATTTGTTTGCGGCACCGAGAAGGGCGAGCCTGTGTTTCCAGAACTCTTCTTGGGTTATGTTTCCATAGAGGTAACTAAGGAGAGCCATGCAAGATTCTCTTGACATGTCTTCGATGTGGATAGTGGATGACTCTTTTTCCTTGAGGTCGTGGTGGAACATGCTTTTGAAGACCGTTGAACTAGCCGAAAGGATTGCTTTGTGAGCCGAGAGCGTTCCATCGCCCGTGTGGATTATGACATCAGATAGGATGCTTTCTTCTAGCATCCGGGATAAGCATTTGAGAGTGGTTTGAGTCGAGATTGATTGCATTGTCGCATCGGTTGGCCAAACAGGTGAAGCTTCACCACCCTGGATTTGTAGATTTGATCAACCATAGAAAATGAATGCTAGAGAGAGAAGCAACTTGCTGCTAAAATTAGAATCATCATTGCATTCAAAACTTACATTCAAAGGGCAGATTTTGAGATCAAGAAACTCAACATCAATTGTGAATCGACCGTGGAAGCTCGAATCCACATGCCACACACAATCGTCAGTTGTACGCAGCAGTTTTTCATACACTGCACCACAAATACAGAGAGACTCAGCTTACATATACACAAAAGCTAATTCAGTTCTAACCATTCCCATAAAATTACTAATCATCTGCAATCATTAACATTTAAAATTCGAAACTGAGATTAAAAATATCTTCTTTTTTTGAAAAAGCAAAGGATGGGGACGACGATTTGTGACACCATTGCTAATGCATCAAACATGCAAATTTCATAGCAAATGAAACTCCATTGCTACCAGAAGATTCCAGAGAATTCACTCATAATTTTTCTAAGCTACTTGACATTTTTTCTTGAAACCCCTGATTCAACAACCACCACAAACATATAATTTATACATAAAGAGAATTAACAAATCAAAATTCCAACAAATCCCACAAAAATCTCTATTCCAAGACCACACATACCAGGAGAGATGTAGGATCTTCGATTAGGACCAACGTTAGAGACACGAAGAATAAACTTAGCAACAGGAGGTTGCTCTTTGGATACTCGAGAAAGTTCTGGGAAAAGCCGTACAGATAGATAACGATTCCTCTCTATAGACAGATGCCTTCATATATCCCAAAAACCCACAAAATCAAAAATCCCAGAAAGAAAAAGGTAAGCAAAACAAAGAAGAAGAAAAAAGTGATTACCAATTCCAGATTCCAAGTTTGAAAGGATCGGATTTCTTGAAAGAGCAAGGTCCAAAATTTTCAATCCTCCATTGCGCTAACCTCGAGATTGTCTCCACCTTCGTGTCCCCCATCCACTCTCTCTCTCTCTGAACTCAAATTTTGACTTCCTTTTTCTCTGAACGGTTTACTTCACGCCAAATAACAATGACGAAGCAAGCAACTATGACAGACCACAAAGCGCCTCCATCGTCTGCCACGTGTACGGAGATTATAGGGCTTTATGTCAATCAACCGGTTCGACCCGGTTTAGAAAGAAGAAAAAGTTTGAAATGGACGAGAACGATAAGAGAGAAAGCGATCGGACAATAT